AGAATGTCTCTTTGGTTTTGAGACTTTAGTGTTTGTAACTTCAGGGATCTTATCTATGCACAATCAGCTTGTAACACTCCAAAGAGAAAGGAAAACTTGAAATCGCATCATATGACGCCTTTAATATGATGGTCATATGATGCTATTTCAATTTTTCCTTTCTCTTTGGAGTGTTACAAGCTCTTGGTGCATAAAGAAGATCTGTAAAGTTGCAAACACTAAAGTCTCAAAACCTAAGAGATATTCTTTATAAAAGTTCAGAGTCAGCCACGCCCCCCTAAAACTGCTCGTTCTAACACGCCCACGTCACGATCTGGGAAGATTTGCATTACACCGCCCAAATGTTCACGCAAACAACGGTGGCGTAACTTTTATTCTCGCTGTAGTATTGTTTTTATGTTTACGCGGCGCGATGCAATGCAATGCGTAAAAAGACAGTACAAGTCATTATAATCAGTAATTATGTCCCCACTGGATGCAACAAATGCCTCGTTTGTAATGGGTTTTAATGTTTATGTCTCGTTGCTCCGGCCGGGACACGGCATCACAGTCTGGTAGAGGCGTAACATTTCCGTCTCACTCTTGAGGTATTCGGCCAATCACAACGCACTGGATAGCTGGCCAATCACAGCACACCTCGCTTTTCAGACCGATGAGCTTTGTAAAAATCGACACGTTTCAGAAAGGCGGAGCATAGAGGAGAAACAATAATGTACAGTATGTGGAAAATAATGTTTTTTTTACTTTAAACCGCATTAACACATTTCATTACACCAAATAAATGTTCTTTTTAGCAACATCATATGACCCCTTTAATGCACAGCAAACCGTTGATTATCCTGCACAGCGAACATAGTTCCAGGCAGCTCTGGACCGCATTACATGTCCATATCACTTCGCCAAATGATTTCTGTTATTCAAAGGTCTTACAACAGCAAAATAATCAAAACCCACAACAACACTGGCCAGAAAAATAAATATAGTAAGTAATATGATAAAAACAACAATTTCCATGTTGTGACACATAATTATGTTTTATTATTCAGAAAGGCGGAGCATAGAGGAGAAACAATAATGTACAGTATGTGGAAAATAATGTTTTTTTTACTTTAAACCGCATTAACACATTTCATTACACCAAATAAATGTTCTTTTTAGCAACATCATATGACCCCTTTAATGCACAGCAAACCGTTGATTATCCTGCACAGCGAACATAGTTCCAGGCAGCTCTGGACCGCATTACATGTCCATATCACTTCGCCAAATGATTTCTGTTATTCAAAGGTCTTACAACAGCAAAATAACCAAAACCCACAACAACACTGGCCAGAAAAATAAATATAGTAAGTAATATGATAAAAACAACAATTTCCATGTTGACACATAATTATGTTTTATTATGAAGGTAAAGCACATACTCTATCTCTCCCGCTCTCGCCCTCACAGACGCACATACATAACTTACAGTACAGAAACATACACGGGCTAACGTTGTTATCGCTACTCTGGCGATTTTATTTTAAAAGCTACATGATATTTCTCACAAGCGAGGTAACAACGGTGCTGTTCGTGAAGAAAATGAACAGTTTCACTGTTGGTAGAGTCGCTGCTGCCGAACAATTTTGAGAGAGAGACAGACTCCGAGAGGTAATACACACGAGCTCTCTCTCTCTCTTTCAAATAACTTCATTAATATCTGCATTAGTCTGCTATCAACGGCTCAAGCCTCCATTACTAGGTCTAAAATGACATTTTGGAATTAGCAACAGAGGCGTTGGATGAGATGCGGTAGAAATTAACTCCCGTCATAGCACCTCGGGTGTGCATTACTCGTCTAATAATTCAACGGCCCGTCATCAATTATTCCTTACGTAAAATACTCTAAGAGCACAGCAGTGCATAGTATACCTGTTGTAGCACATTGTTTACTTTTAAGAGTAAATGTTATTTTTAATTTAAATGTAACATTTTTATTTTAATGCAAGACTAGGTTTTATTTCATTTCAATTTAACAGTAATTTACTTTCAAATGCCCCAATTGCTTAAGGGTCTGCACAACTTTTTTGTACAAGTTCAAGTTGCATTGTTCAAAATACCTGTAGTAGCACAGCAGTGCTTACCTGTTTACATTTAATTAAGGTGGACTAGACTGTAATACAAATAGCTGAGTTTGCCAGGTGCATACAACATTTATGACAGGTTTTCATGAAAGTGTTGGTCAGTTTGTCTGCTTGACAATCCCATTTTGCACTGCAACAATAAAACTGAAGTGAGATTAGCAAACCGAGAAATGTTTCTTTTTAGTTAAAACAGATGTTGCCAAAGTTTTCGGTTGGGGACATAATTTGAAGTTGAAAAAAGGTAATATATCGCAATATATTTAAAATCACAATAATATTGTATCGTGATAATATCGTATCATGGGTCCTCTGGTGATTCCCACCCCTATATCAAGTATATGTAAAGTACAATATTGTGATTTGATTATGCATACAGCCATTTATTCATCCAAATTTTGCCAAATTCTGTGACATTGTGTTATACGGTAAATTCCTTTTTTGAAATTGGATTCTGCAATTCCATCCTCAGTACTGGATATCGGATTTTGTCCTCCGTATTGGAATATAGACATGAATATGGAAATTAAAACACAATCTTCTGGCCACAATGTTGCTGACTTCTGTAGATTTTGGTGTTGCTCACCTGCTGGACTTTGCCCTCAAAATCTGCATCGTTTTTGTCGTAAATCATCTGGGCGAGTCGGATCTGTTCGGCTGTGGCCTAGAGACAGATGACAGTTACACATCCATATTCAGAACACAGTTAGGTATACGCTGGTCCTCAGGCTTGTGCACACGGCACACCTAACTGATGAAGAGTGTGTGTACGGCTCACCTGTATCTGTTTCTGTGGCTGTGAGGTGTGTGTGGTTTGTGGTAGGGCTCTGTCCCGATTGCCCCTGGCAGCATCAAATAAATGTTCTTTTTAGCAACATCATATGACCCCTTTAATGCACAGCAAACCGTTGATTATCCTGCACAGCGAACATAGTTCCAGGCAGCTCTGGACCGCATTACATGTCCATATCACTTCGCCAAATGATTTCTGTTATTCAAAGGTCTTACAACAGCAAAATAACCAAAACCCACAACAACACTGGCCAGAAAAATAAATATAGTAAGTAATATGATAAAAACAACAATTTCCATGTTTTGACACATAATTATGTTTTATTATGAAGGTAAAGCACATACTCTATCTCTCCCGCTCTCGCCCTCACAGACGCACATACATAACTTACAGTACAGAAACATACACGGGCTAACGTTGTTATCGCTACTCTGGCGATTTTATTTTAAAAGCTACATGATATTTCTCACAAGCGAGGTAACAACGGTGCTGTTCGTGAAGAAAATGAACAGTTTCACTGTTGGTAGAGTCGCTGCTGCCGAACAATTTTGAGAGAGAGACAGACTCCGAGAGGTAATACACACGAGCTCTCTCTCTCTCTTTCAAATAACTTCATTAATATCTGCATTAGTCTGCTATCAACGGCTCAAGCCTCCGTTACTAGGTCTAAAATGACATTTTGGAATTAGCAACAGAGGCGTTGGATGAGATGCGGTAGAAATTAACTCCGTCATAGCACCTCGGGTGTGCATTACTCGTCTAATAATTCAACGGCCCGTCATCAATTATTCCTTACGTAAAATACTCTAAGAGCACAGCAGTGCATAGTATACCTGTTGTAGCACATTGTTTACTTTTAAGAGTAAATGTTATTTTTAATTTAAATGTAACATTTTTATTTTAATGCAAGACTAGGTTTTATTTCATTTCAATTTAACAGTAATTTACTTTCAAATGCCCCAATTGCTTAAGGGTCTGCACAACTTTTTTGTACAAGTTCAAGTTGCATTGTTCAAAATACCTGTAGTAGCACAGCAGTGCTTACCTGTTTACATTTAATTAAGGTGGACTAGACTGTAATACAAATAGCTGAGTTTGCCAGGTGCATACAACATTTATGACAGGTTTTCATGAAAGTGTTGGTCAGTTTGTCTGCTTGACAATCCCATTTTGCACTGCAACAATAAAACTGAAGTGAGATTAGCAAACCGAGAAATGTTTCTTTTTAGTTAAAACAGATGTTGCCAAAGTTTTCGGTTGGGGACATAATTTGAAGTTGAAAAAAGGTAATATATCGCAATATATTTAAAATCACAATAATATTGTATCGTGATAATATCGTATCATGGGTCCTCTGGTGATTCCCACCCCTATATCAAGTATATGTAAAGTACAATATTGTGATTTGATTATGCATACAGCCATTTATTCATCCAAATTTTGCCAAATTCTGTGACATTGTGTTATACGGTAAATTCCTTTTTTGAAATTGGATTCTGCAATTCCATCCTCAGTACTGGATATCGGATTTTGTCCTCCGTATTGGAATATAGACATGAATATGGAAATTAAAACACAATCTTCTGGCCACAATGTTGCTGACTTCTGTAGATTTTGGTGTTGCTCACCTGCTGGACTTTGCCCTCAAAATCTGCATCGTTTTTGTCGTAAATCATCTGGGCGAGTCGGATCTGTTCGGCTGTGGCCTAGAGACAGATGACAGTTACACATCCATATTCAGAACACAGTTAGGTATACGCTGGTCCTCAGGCTTGTGCACACGGCACACCTAACTGATGAAGAGTGTGTGTACGGCTCACCTGTATCTGTTTCTGTGGCTGTGAGGTGTGTGTGGTTTGTGGTAGGGCTCTGTCCCGATTGCCCCTGGCAGCATCAGTGACCACTGAAGTCATCATAAACAGTATATACAAAATAATGTATGTACAAAATAGAAAATCTGGAGGAGAAAAGGAAACAGAATCAAATTATTACACTCGCATACAAGACTATAAAAAAATATATTCCCAAGACATTTGTGTACGAAGGGTTTGCTGACAAGTGCAGCGGGCCTGTGGCTAGTTTAACTCTCAGCACTGTACTTCTCATGTAAAACTATCACCCCTCTATCTGTCCAGCACTTAAATATAGCCATGCAAACATAGTCTGGACTGGTGTCCACTTACACACCCACCCAAACCCCTCTCCTGAAAAAACAAAACGCGCCTGCAACAACATATAAAACGCTCGTCCGTCTTAAAGGGCCAGCTCACGAAAAAATAAAAGACAGTGATAAATGCTGGAAACGATATTTAGAGTAACAAACCGCATTTTTATGTCTATCCCTTTAAGGGCTAAGTCTCAAAACCTACCGAGTCGCCTACTTAGATCGCATAGTTGGGAATCCGAACGTACAGTTCGGCCAAAAACGCTGTCTAGGTAACGTTAGGGAGCTCAGTGCGCTTTAAGCAACGGAAAGATTTTAACTAACTTAAGTGCGGACTAAAAATAATCGCGGTAACGGTTCGAGTTCGCTGCGACCGTCATGTATATCAATCGTCGTGACGAACCAAGTTAAAACCACACAGAACCGTGAAATGGCCCTTAGCAACAGACACGCAAACAAGTGCGAGCGATTATATCATTGTTATATCCTTTTAGCGCAAGTGGAAATACATAATTGCGTCATATTTATGTGTTTGCGGTCAGTTTTGGATAGAGTCAGATTAGACGGGAGAGTAAAAACAAGCAGATGCTAACACGCTCGGCTAACTGTTAGGTCTGCACCACGCCGCGTCGCTGCTAATGCTACGAACAACCGTCAACAGACCACGGCTCATCTGCCGCTAATAATGTGTCGAAATCGAGTAGAGTAAACATTTCATCATTGGTCAGATAGAAACATACGCTCTTTTTACAAGTCGACGGTAATGGCTTTGTTTTCAGTCTCTCTGCATCACAGAAACTCTCCGCGCCCTCACCGCTGTGTTTTTACCTGCCCACTGACCGCACGCGCTTCCCTCATACAGCAGCGCGACAACAAGCGCGCCGTGTTTCAAAATAAAAGCCCAGGCGACATTACTAAAATAAAAGTCCTGGCCGTTTTCGCATAGCATCTACTACAAGGTTATATGGATACACGTAAAGTAGATATACAGAGACCAAGATTTTAGACCATGTTTCTGTTTTACATTTCTCTAATTTAATTTAAATACTTTTTTTTTGTATTATAAATTACAGGATCAGCACAATATTCTCTGACTGAACATCTGACCTGTCCAGAATCTTATGTAGCTAGGCCATAATCAATTTTATCCCGGAACATTGATTGTGTGACAGTTTTCCAGTCTATAGATCTAATGGGTTTTGTATTACTGTAAATGCGCATTATATTTAGATTCTGGACGATGCTGTGTTTTATTAGCTGAACCATGGCAGCAAAATTGCACTGGCACAATGCTGGGAACTTGGACTAGGAAGTTACAAGTGACACATTAATAGAGAAAACCGTTATATAAACATCAATATGTGCATGCATATGCCTTTAGTGGCGTCGTGGTGATGTAATAGAATCAGCGTTTCATTTTTAACCAGTTAATTGAACTGAAAGAACCGATTAGAGTTTCCATAATCCCAGGTTTCAAATGTGGTCTCATGCATGTACTATTTGACCCACCAGATATCATTAATAAATCGTTAGCACATTTGCTGAAAATTAAGAGTTAAGAGTCTGTACCAATCCAAAAACATTTAAATGTTTAGTAAACTAATACAATTAATAGGCTAGGCTAATATTAATTATGCCACAAACTAATATTTTTAAAATGATGTGATTGACAACACTGAAAATCACTGTCTCGGAAAATCCAAACAGAGCTTCCATATATAAATTCATTGAGTAATCTCATAAACTTGACTGTTAGTTATTCCTATAGTATTTATTTAATGTTGTGTCTCCCCCCATAGTTTAACATCATGACCCTGTACTGTGATTTGGAGTTTGTTCATACATGAGATTTCTCTTCTAGTTTTCCAGCAATGTCAGAAATCAATAAAACAGGCATCAAAGGAGAGCCAACCACAGCACAGCTTGTTACCTTCTACACAGATCATGGTGTGTCAACAAATATTGTCTGTCATTCATCAACTCAGTGTTTCAGCCCATGCCTGCTGATCAATAACCTTTTATGTTGATCTTTCTAAACAAGCAGAATGTGAGACATCAGTCTATGCACAGGACACTTTCAACCAACTTCAAACATTCAGGCAGAATTGCGGCGGTACGGCAGGCTGACTGCTATCTTGGCATGTTCAGCTTCATTTGATTAGCTCTGTGCTTCAAGATGTGGACAAACATGGGAGCTCTGATCTGGCTCTTTCTGGTTCCAAGTTTGTTAAAAACAACAGCTCTACTGATTTCACAATGCACTTTGCAGAAGGTAAGAGCTTTTAAGCTTGGGAAAAGGCAGATTTATTACCTTTATTTTAGAATGTTTACAGATATTAGAAACTTTTAAATCCAAATGTATAGGACTTTCACTTGGTTCTAACATGAACATAATTATAAAAATAAAAAAAATTGAAAAAAATCCCAGCAAGAAAATAACACCCTACTGATCAAGGTTTGGGGTCTGTAAGATTTTAAATTTTTAATTTTTTGAAAAAAATCTCTTACGCTTACCAATGCTTCATTTATTTGATAACAAATATTGTAATATTGTCAAATGGAATTGCAATTAAAAATAGCTTTTATTATTTTAATAGATTTTAAAACATAATTTATTCCAACTATTAAAAAAACAAATATTCTGATTTGCAGCTCAAGAAACATTTCTTATTATTATTAATGTTGAAAACAGTGGATCTGCGTAATATATCTGTGGAAACCGTAATATATATGTTTTCAGTTTAAAAGAACAATAATATGAAAAAAAAGATAAGTCTTGCTCAGTATAACTTAATTAATTTCCTAAAACTAAAATTTTACTGACCTCAACCTGTATGAAGTGTATATATACTGTCATTTATTAAATGTATTGAACTTTGCTTATTGTGAACATTTACAGCATTTATGTGCAATATACCTTTTTTTATTAAATGATAAAATCAATTTTTATTTGTATTTGTTTTTTTATTTCTCAGGATTTTTTAGAGTCACTGAAACCTCAAGATTTATTTTATTATTTTGATACCATTTCCATTAAATCAGGTGAGTCTGATTCACAGATGTTGAGAAATACTAGTCACAAATAAGGAGTCAGAAGGTTCACGGATAGGCCAGTAGGTTCATAAATACAAATGAGAGGTTTTAAAACACTTGAAAAAGTCAATGTCTAAACTAAACATGTAAACTCCCTGACATTAGTAGTTTGTTCTCTTCAGTGCCTCACTTTGAGCTGGTGTGGGTGAATTGCTCAGGGAATGAGTCTTTCAGAGGGCTATGGAGGTGCTCGTTTCACAGCGAAGAAGAGAGTTTTGAGCTGGGCCAACACAGAGATGAACAACCCGTGTCCTGTCCCACGAGTCTGGAGATGGTGATCAACTCAACAGTGAGTGTGGTGAAGAAAAGGGAGGATATGTGCTGCGAACAGCTGAAGTTACTGAGACCAGCACATACGAGAACTCTTCTCCCCATCTGCCATGGCAAATTAGTAAGAAGATGCTTTTTGCTGTATATACAGTACTATATGGAGACAAATTTCTAATCATAGCCTGTATTTGTCCCTCAGCAAGGTCTGATTCAGTCAGGGGAGAAGAGGCTGTATATTCGCCCGGTGCTTCAAAAACACATAGACCATCTGAAGGAGCTTACTGTGGATTTACCTTCTGGTGTACCTCACCTGCTGTTGACCTACACATTACCAGTGAGGACACGTCTTAAACAGCCTAAAAGTGAGTGAACATTGTACTGGTTAAATATACACAATTTTACGAATACTATGAATTAAGATATACTATGTACTTCACATACTAGTTTTTGCATACTACACAGGAAGGAAGTAGGCATATATGAATGCAGGGCAAGTCTTTATGAGTGAGTAACTGACACATTCACTCAACAAATTTGATCAAAACATGGATTCATTCAGGAACAAAACAAGTCATTGAATCATTCACTTAACCAATTTCAGACACTGATTCATTCAGGAATGAAACCTCACTGCTGTTTGTTGCTGAGAAATGTGCAACGTGTTAGCAGAGACAATATAAACATCAATATTGAATCTAAAATGTGTCTAAAGTTACTTTTTTATTTATTGAACTGTTATATAAAAGAAATATCACACTCACAATTTAGCTGTTCATCTGAATGTCAGTATAGCTGCTGTTTGTGCTACAGCCAAATCAAGTTCAGTATGCTAAAGTAAATATGTAGTACATCGACTATACAAAGTGATACTTTGGTCATACTATGATCTTCTAAATGTAATACTTAAACTTCTCTTAGCTTATTATATAACCTCAATTGTTTCTGATATGCTGTTCATATGATAAAATATCATTGCTACTTTCATTAAACTGTGTAATCTGCATCTGTCTAGGTCAGTTCAGGTTGCGGCGAACACCTCTGGGGTCAGAGGTCACACATCTGGAGCTAGCAGTGGTGGTGGGTCCAGATGTCTATGATGTTCATAGGCAGGACACTGAGAGATACATCCTAACCAACCTCAACATCGTATGTGTGTTTAATCTACATTTTCAGTTACAAACAACCAAAGATTGTTTAAGTATCTTCTCAACTCTTGCAGGCCTCTGAGCTTCTGAGAGATGTCACTCTCGGCGCCAATATAAGAGTTCATCTTGTTCGTATGGTCATTCTCACAGAGCCGAAGGTAAAAATGACTATTTCACCTAATGCTGTGCATAACAACCATTATATTAATCCACAAAGACAATAAAGTTGGTTTTCATCCACAGTCAGACATCCAGATCTCTGAAAACATCACCTCCTCTCTAAAAAGTGTGTGTGAGTGGGGTCAGAGGGTCAACCCTGATGCTGACACTGACCCTATACATGCAGATCTACTGTTATACATTACCAGGTGTGGACTTAAACCATAGAGAGCACTCCTAATTAAAGGAACTTTCTGTGTGTGTATGGTATAAAATAATGCTTAAAACTCTTAAAAGATGAAGCCATTTTTATATATAAAATCAAAATTCATATATTATATGAAGTGCAATTCATTTTTGGAGTAAGCTGCTAAAATGTTTGAAGTACCAGAATATCACTATCAAGTGTTTCAGCATACCTGCAATTCAGTGCCTCTCTTTGACATCATTAAGGTTTGATCTGGTGTTACCCAATGGAAATAAGCTTGTGAGAGGTGTGACCCAGCTGGGTGGAGTCTGTTCCACTCAGTGGAACTGTGTGATTACAGAAGATACCGGCTTTGATCTTGGCATCACCATGGCTCATGAGATTGGCCACAGGTGAGCTTGACAACTTTCAAACTCAGAGGAGAGATACATATTACCATGCTGAAATGTGCTGAAATCCAAGTCTTGGTTTATTGTTTTTTTTTTCTTCCTCCAGTTTTGGCATAAATCATGATGGAATAGACAACACATGCAGCTCCAGTGGCTTTATGATGGCATCTGACGGAGGTTATAACAGTGTCGATCTCACCTGGTCCCAGTGCAGCAGAGCTCAGCTCCACAACTTCTTCAGGTGTCAGTCACTTACTGCATCACAGACATATACATCAGCCTCCAAAGTCTGAGACCACTATAAAAAATGCTGCAATTGTGCATTTTTTATTTAAAGGGGTGGTTGACTGTTTTTTTTCTAGGCTGTATTGTGTTTATGGGGTGCAGTCTAACATGTGTTAATGCTTCGTTTAAAACATCAGCCTCCAAAGTCTGAGACCACTATAAAAAATGCTGCAATTGTGCATTTTTTATTTAAAAGGGTGGTTGACTGTTTTTTTTCTAGGCTGTATTGTGTTTATGGGGGGCAGTCTAAAATGTGTTAATGCTTCGTTTAAAAAAAAAAAAAAATGTTTTTTTTTA